TTAACTTTTTCTTGGTTTTTTTATTTTTAATTTCTAGAATAATCTTTTGATGTCCATGAAACTAAGGAAATAGAAACGATTTTTGAGCTCTTCAAAAGAATTTGCTACGGGCCCTGCGCTTGCTTAATCCGGCACTGCGTCTGTCGGGTCTGCTAGTATCCGCATTATTATTATATTTCTATATTATAATATATAATATTATATATGAGTATGTATGGATGTTTGTTACTCTTTCATGCCAGAACGGATCTGAATGAAATTTGACACAGAGATAGATTATAGTCTGGAATAACACATAGAACTTTTTATCCCGAAAAAATGTACGGTTCCCGTGGGATAGGTTTGTTTTTGTTTTCCTAGAAGTGAACTCGAGCGAAGCGAGGTGTATATATATATAAGAACATTTAAACATTTAATAATTAAATGTATTTAAAAATATAAGAAAATATTTTTTAGGTAAGACGTCTTGTATGGAAACTTCGCCACATTAGGTCATTAGTATTATTATAATTTTACGTTCACGTGTGAAACTATACCAGATATTTTTTTTAATTCAATATACTTATTTAAACGTTACATTGTTACCAGTACTTAAAGCAACAAACGTACGATTCAGCCACACCACAACACGCGAGTACTTTGTACTAATTACACTTCGTCCATTAACTAAGCTCTAGGTGTTCGTGAACGTACACCATACCTTCTACTGTACTGCTGTACACTCCATTATTGGTTGCGTAGTGCTTTTTTTATTTTCTGTGAGAAGAGAAAAGTAAGCTTGAATATTATATTAGCATTTACATCTGTTTTAAAATAATAAATCTTTGACTGCATGAATTATTCTAATTCTAATGAACGATTTCTTAGATATTCGATTTTTTTTTTCAGTTTTACTAAACTATTTGTATATTTTTATCTATATTGAGGAATTGCTTCGTCTATAACCAATCCTTGATAGAGAATCAGGTCACAATTATCGTAAAAAGAACACACCGGAACTGTACCAACATGCAAAATTTTAACTCCGTGGAATAATTAGAGGAAGTGGTTCTAATTCAGTTTGCAAGATTTGACTCATACAAACTTACCAACTTACAAACATTGCAAGTTAAATTAAAAACTTGTAAATTATCTTTGAACTTTAAATAAATTAGTATTGAAACACATAAAACTATATTTCGGCTGCATTATTCGCAATAAATAGCATTTATTGAAATCATTATCAAAATCGTATCGTTTATGCAGACATTTCAATTTAAAAGCCACATTTAATATGCCAGAGGGCATCAAAATATTTTTGCTATCTACCAAATAGGGAGTTTCAAATTCATTGTAAATTGAAAACGATTGTAACGCTTCCGCAGTAGTATCTTCACTTCCGAAATATCCTAATTTGCTTTGGTTCGATTCCTGCAGATGACATATATCTCAGCCTGATTATGACAATTTGCAACGTTGTACCTTTACTTAATTATAGAGGGTTCCATAATAGTGTTTAAGTGATTGATCAGACTAGTGCTGTCAGATCCATTTTTACAAGATTTTATTTAATTAGCATTTTTTTAGTTTATTTGTTTGTTTGTATAGGTTAAATCTATAGGGTGAAATTGAAACACATTCTTCATTATTCAAGTCAAAACATTGAGTTGTAGAAAATTGAATTGAATGGAAAAATCTTAATGCTTATAAAGAAGACTCAATCGCTCAATCATTTCTAACATGATTACCACTTGTCTTACGGTGAAGGAAAACGTCGTGAGGAAATCTGTATGTCTGAGAGAACCTATCAAGTTTTCGAAAGACATGTGAAGTCCGGCAACCCGCACTTGGCCAGCGTGGTGGACTATGGCCTGATCCCCCTCATATGAAGGGAGGCCCGTGCCCAGCAGTAAGACGTTAAAAAAAGGGCTGAATACATAAAGAAGACTGAGTGAATGAGTCTAAGCACGACTTACTTCTCACCTAATATTTTGTGTAAGTCTGCAGATTATCATGACATTATCAAGTCTAGTTTACCGTATATATTATATATTACCGTATTAGTTGATTAGCAAAAGCAGCTAATGTTACCTAAACGGGTCAATATTAAAAAACGGAAAATTTTCCCTTTCAAAGCATATTTGACTGACTGCCCTGTTTCTAAGTTTCTTTAAGGCTTGAATCTGATTATATATTTGTTTATTTCTAAAACCAGATTTGACTGTACACACTATCTTTTTAAATACAATATTCCCACATTATTCCTAGGTTCCTTTATTACATGATAAAGCTTTATTATATTATAAAGCATTGATGCATGATAAAGCTTTGTTATATGATAAAACATTATTATATGATAAAGCTTTGTTTCATTGAACTTTTTTTATATGATGTGTTCTACTAATATGAAACACATTGCTCAAAACTAGAACTGTGTTGCCGTTTTTTTTTTTAACGTTGGGAAATGCATTTACGCACGAGGTGTGGGACTCACCGGCAAAGCCAGTACTATCCACTAAAACCCAACAAAGCCTTCCACCGTCTTAATGGGGCGTCGCAGGATCGCTTACGCATTCAACTACGACGACCCGACGGCAGGTCTGCCAAAGCAGACCAAAACAACCACGGGGTTGCTCCAAGGTCCATTCTGCTATCAGAGAAGTACCAGGAGCAACCCGCATGGTACACCGCCCTCCGAAGAGGGCCACCTCCCACCGCCCACCGAAGTGGGCCACCTCCCTGTGCGTTTCTTGGCTTCGCGCCCGGTTGGGTTGCCGGGCACTACTGAGCCCCCCACCACGACAAGGTGAACGCACGTTGGGGGGGAGAACTGTGTTGCCTAGTGTACACGACCAACCGCAGTATAAAACATCCATTAGCCGATTGATGTCGTTAACTGGATAATTAATCGAACATTTGACGGTTTGACCGATTTATAGGCTAAGAGCAATTACAAGAGTTTATTGTTGCATAAAATGAGTAGGAGTTTTATGATAATGATAGAGAAGTTCCTCCACATACTGTTCAAATGACAACATCATATTTTTATCCGCTTCTGTAGTCTATAAAATCGCATTTTAAATATATTATTAACAATTTGGTTGCGAAAGCAATAGAAAACATATAAATATATGAGATATTATTATTATTCTATGTGTAGGTATATGAGAATGTATGGTTTAGACTTTAGACCTTTCAAAAAAGTTTGGAGCTTAGTAAATTGTACAATTCTCCAACATATGTACATTTGCTATTAGGCATTATAGTGAAAAAACTAAGAAGAATTACTCGCTCTTTTTCATAACCAAACTCCTTTAAAAACTTTACAAATTTACGAGCCCCTTATTTTCCAAACCATTTCAAATAAATTGGATGTGCAATAATGTTAATTGTGTTCCGCCTTCAGAATATCTGAATTTTATTTCTTTCAGTTACAATTACTTTATTACAAGTTATTGCTTAATAAATGCCTACTATATTTTAAATATCTTATAAATTATCAATTTTATCAATGTAACCTATAGAAATATTCATTAAACTATAGAAAAGTGCAAAGTTATTTATTTCTTTCAGTTAAATAAACATAAATAGAAATAAAATACTAAATAATAATGACTTAAAAGTCTAAAGCCACTTAGGCTATTTTTTATTATACTATTACACACACCCTCGCTTCGCTCGGGTTCGTCCCTAGGTTGATTCCCAATACAAACTTTTATCCCCATTTTCACCCCCTTAAGTGATGATTTCCGGGATAAAAATTTCATCTAATTCAGTTCAGTAGATCCAGAGATTACCCCCTACAACATCACAAACTCACAAAATCACAAACTCACAAACTTTACCTGTTTATAATATTAGTATAGATTTCGGAGCGTGCCTTCAGGATTGCTGGCAACCCTCGAACATCGAACATCAAATCGATGCGACCGATTTTGAGTGAAAGAATTATACTGTTAAGAACGCTAAGATATTTTTATGTAGCGAATTTATGTAGCTAAGATAATTAAATTAAAGTTAATTTACATCTAACATTACGTATAATCGGACGTAAAACTTGGGTCAGGCATTTTAGCAAAAATTCTTCATATGAAAATTTCAAACATTAAGCGATTCACACAAAGCTACTAAAATTTAAATGTGGACTATAAAACTGAGAATTTTAATAAATAAAATTTTAATTTAACATTTACATGTATTTTTACATATATTTTTAATTTGTCCAGAACTCTCTTTTAAATCATAATAGAAGGATCATCTCACACGGCTAAGATACTTTTTCAGACACTGCTTGTATGAACAAGCATACTACAACTTTATTGTTTTTTTTTGGTTTTTTGGTATTTTGCTGCCCTTTTTTGTTGTCAATATGCCAAGATTGCGAATAACTTTAACTCAATCAATTTAAATATATTAACAAGATCACAGTAGGTACCATTATGTTTAACATACATTCTTAAAACTTATTTTAGTGATTTACGCCTAGTACTAACATCCTGATCGATATATTTTAGATCCAAAGAGCTTTTCATTCAAGGAGGTTCATCAATTAAAATTGCACTTCTCGTTATTTATGTTTTGTATAGCTTTATTAGTATCTTCGCCTTTAATACAATAATACAATTGGGTGTCATCAGCATACAAGTGATGTTACAAAAAATATACGCACATGTACAGTCTGTATATAGGTGAGGACCCTTGATCTATTATTTTCAGAGCAGAGTATTTCTTTCATCATTTTTTACTAGTTTTTGCTCCCCACTAGGTATTAAAAGTAAATAAAATTCCATTTCATCCTTATTTTACTTTTAAAGATTTAATTGGATTTATTATTTTTATTTTATTAACTTTAATCAATCCTTATTAAATAAAATATTTAAAACAATTGACATCTATCTATTATCTACTAAATAAATAAAATTAAATGTCACAAATAATAGCAATGGATTGACGATGCTAAAAATATTCGAAATGTAAAAAATTAATCAAATTTCTGTTAAAATTAATTGTAGTAACCTTTAATAATCCTGAAAGTACTCATTCTTTAATTGATCCCAAAAAAATTTTCTTTCATATTCAGGCACGTCGATCATTTTGAAATGTCGGCCTAAATTCATTGCTTGTAATTTTTCATTTCCTCTTACAGGCGTCCATACTAAAGTGCCCAAAATGTTATCATTATCACTACGATTAGGAGTAGGATTTCTGAAAAAGCAAATGACTAGATAACTAGATTCGTTTGATTGTGAAATTCAAAATTTTTATTTTTTTATTTAATACAATTTTTGTTCTACGTTCGAAACAATAAGGAATTAACTAACAAGTTTGAAGTTTCTAATTAATTTAAAAAACCGCATCTAGGACTGATGTTGTAAGGGTTCCGTACAAATTGAATAGCGAAGTAAAATATTTTTATGTGCTATAATTACACATAGTTTCGATTTTCCCGTTTTCCCTTTACTTATACTGTGAAACCTCTTTTCTTGCTTTTCATAATTGATGATGGAAACAGGATTTATAGACAGACGGACAACAAAGTGATATGGGTCTTTACTGATTGAGGTACGGAAAACTATTTTAAAATATATAAAATTAAATAACAATTTATAAAAATCATTGATAAAAGTTATTCATTGACAAGTTACCTTACCCGTATTTAGCGAAATTTCCAAATAATCTGACAATTTTCCTAATGAACAGTCTTTCATCTGAGGCTTTAAGGCTTTTATAGCTATCTGCTCCAGATTTACATTTGAATAGATAGCAGATTTCATCCCCTAACGTCGCCCCAGACCACTCTAAATTCGGCACCGATGATTGCCATCCAATATTTAATGATCCTTTATAAGAAAATCTGTACAAGTAAATATTACTACTAGACGATAAACTATGTAGTTCTACTTGCCGTAGTATTGGATATATCATTTGATCACTCACATACTTTGCGTAACGTCTCAAACTTCTCTCCCCTATAGTGCCATTTAAAAAATAAAAATTTAAAATTTTCTGTCTGATTTTCTTATACCTTTTTGAATTGTATTTGTCAGGTCTCCCCTCGAAGGGTAGTAAATATTGGAAATTATAATTTAAATATATTAATAATTTGCGATTTTTAGCCAATCCCTTTAACTTATATAAAGAATATAAGGTACTATAACCAAATATTACTTCGACATTATTATTTGCAAATTTTCTATCATATACTGTCAAAGGAGATTTATTCATGAAGGCCTTCTTCGACGATTTTTCTATACCGCAGCTAAATGTATTAATCAATCTTTGAGTATCTCTAATCTCAGTACTATCGTAAAGATTTGTGCATCCTAGTAACGTTTCAGTGGATGAACTCAGAAGAAGGTCATATAATTGTGTTCGATTAAACTTATTATATCGGCCCTTTAATTTCCAATATAATTTATTAGAAACTTCAAAATTATACGGTCTGTAATCGGCCGGTGATAACGCACTGCCATCAATTATTACAGCACGTCTAAACAAATCATCAGCTGATACAGATAGCAACATCGATGCAACAACAGTAGCTGCAATCCCGGAACCAATTATCGTAACTCTGTTAGGATCACCATTAAAAAGACTTATGTTATCGCGCAACCATTTAAGTGCAGTTAACATGTCCTTAGCTCCCATGTTTCCTTCAGCAAAGTCATCTTCGGTGTTGAGGAAACCAAAAATAGATGATCGAAATGATACTGTGACTACTAAAACTTTTTCGTCGATAAAGAAATCGGGTCCATGTTCATTTGCGAGTTCGTTTGTCCAAACTAAGACAGGAAAATTTTCTGTTTTGTTATTGCTAATTGGTCTAAAAATAGATAAATATAAACAATCTTCAATATTTCTCTTCGTTTCTCTGTGAGCTTTGCGGTAGTCATGTATGCCGTAATTTGATATAGGTTTATATTCTCCAGGAGGCTGGAAGAAAATGATATTTTCACATAATTGAAAACAAAATAGCTTGTTTCCTTTGTCATATGCATTATTAATGCTTCTCATAAATCATTATAAATAAAAAAAAGCATTATCATAATGTATCTGATTAATTATTCTGATTTATTATCTCTTAATAGACTTGAATAATCTTAAAATTACAATATATAATTATAAATTAAACATTTCTAAAACCCCCTACGCAAATTAATTGTCATTTAACGATTACGCTGGCACGCGTGAAGCACTTGATCGAGTGATCATACGCCAATATGCTTTACATCATTTTGAAAAAGAGCTGATACTCTTACACTGCTGGACCGATATTAACCAAACATAGCTAAGAACCGCAAGGAAACTGGCTTTCAAATGAAAAAACCGCATCGAAATCGGTCCATCCGTTTGAGAGCTATGATGCCACAGACAGACAGTCAGACATTGACGTCAAACTTATGACACCCCTCTTTTTGCGTCGGGGGTTAAAAATAGATATAAATTCCGAATAATAATATATATTATGCGAGTATTTCAGAAGTATGTTAGGTAAAATTCGGTGTAACAGCACACAGTTTTTATTATTTTATATAGAGTCAGAGTAACGCCTCAAACGGCATTACGAAAAGGAATGATCAATCATCAATGACGTATTGCAAGTCATAAAACAAAACACAACGCTTTTCCCTCCCTTTTTCCACTCAAGATGACAACTTCAGAAAACTCAAATAAGTATTTTATATCCGAACTAGCATTACCCGCGGCTCCGCCCGCGTTCAGATGACCAAAAACCAAATTCTTAGGTTCTACAGATAAGTATACTCTTACATTGCAGTTTTTGTATTTTTTCTCTAAAATGGGACATTTTCCCGCGGTAAAAAGTATCCTATATGTTGACGCGGATAACCAGCTATCACCATACCAAATTTCGTCACAATCGCTCCAGTGGTTTTTCTGTGATGCGGTAACAGACAGACAGACAGATAAAAATTCTAAAAACTATAGATTCGGCCTCTGTATCGATAATAATGTTTATTTGAATAAGATTTTCCAAAAAATATCTAATGTACAGATTCGGCTTAGTTACAATTTTATTATATGTTTAGATAACAATTTAAAGAATCAAATAATTAATTTACAATAATACATATAAATCCTATTTCTTAGTAGTTATTAGTATAACATTTAGATATAATTAATATAGTAGCACTGTAATGATAAATTAATTTTATTTACATCTTTAATGTATTATTTGATATGCTCTTAGTCTACTAGTAATTTTATAGCACCTCGCGTCTTTTAGGTCCTTTGAAATTACTTGTCAACTGCGTACCTTAGAATATATGAATGGCACTTACGTATTAACGCCACCGCTGTAGATTGGCGGCACTTATAACCTGCCAAATCTGTAGCTGTGGTAGCGTATTATTTTAAGGATATTAGCCTTTATTGGAATATTCAAAAAATATATTTTAGGCCACTGCAGCTATAGATTTGTGCCGCCAATCTACAACGGTGGCGTAATACGTAAGTACATATATGAATTATTAATATAGTAATTCGTTACCTAAAGATGTAGAAAAGATTACTGAATCACATATTATCTAATAATCAAAAGTAGCACTGCTGTATAATAATTACATAAGTTCTGAAATAAGTATATTTAATTTTTCTAATATTAAGTAAACTGTGTTCTTTTCTGGGTAATAAATTTCTTTAAATATAAACCTTATATTAAAGTATTTATTTACAACTTTGTTTTTAGGAAAATGCTTAAAAAGTTCGCTTGTTTTCATAACTGGATAATACTTTTGACTGACAAATGACAACTGACAAATAAGAAATAGTACCTGAGCGACGGAGCTGAAGCTCGGAGTTTTTATTATATCGTATTTTTAGATTAAAAAAAAAGTAAAAACTTGAATAAATATAAAAAAAAAAAAGTAAAAACTTCGTATCCGACCAGGATTCGAACGCGTACACCTGTCAGTCTTGCGCTTTGGTCGCTTGACCACGATGCTTATGCCCGAGCGTAACCCCCATACCCCCACATACCAAATTTCAGCGAAATTGTAAGAGCCGTTTCCGAGATAGCCGGTATAAAGAAATATACAAGAATTAAATATACCAAATATAAACATTAACCATAAACTGGAATATCAAATTGCGTGCACAAGTATTCACACACATTACTCAAAATTTTTGTTGTATCAAATAATAAGCAATATTAATATATGTATGTATATTATTACCTTAAAATAAGTTAGCAAATAACAAGCAAAATTAAAAGGAAACAAGACACGCATTTGGATATCCGATATTAATATATAAAATTATACCTTAAATCTCCGTTCATTTACCGCTGGTCTGGCGTAAGGAATATCATAAAATGCTACATATTCATTATTTTCAAAAGCTGTCCTTAATTTACTACCAAGAATTGTTAAATCTTTAGATTTAACAGAAACAAACGCTAAAGTTGATGTTGTAAATATTAATGTTACATAAGAACACGACAATATCATAGTTATACAAAAGGAGATTAACATTTCCAAGTCTGTATAATACAAAGCATATTTTAATTTAAAGCGCGAAAATGTTATTGTAACACTTTTTAAAAATATCAACTATGAATTTATTACGCATTCATTTTCTTTTACTAAAATATACTTCAATTTGCATGTCTGTCGATACAAGTACTGAATCTCTACGTTAGTCGTTAGCTTACTATTTTAATTATTTATATTTTATCAAAAATGCAAAAATTTCATTTTCATTTTAGTCTTCACCGTTAAACTAGCGCATTTGTTATTCATCTATACATATAATAAAATTCTAACTCAGCCGAATCTGTACATGGAATATTTTTTGGAAAATCTTATTGAAATAAACATTATTATCGATACAGAGGCCGAATGTATAGTTTTTTTGAATTTTTGTCTGTCTGTCTGTCTTTTACCGCATCACAGAAAAACCACTGGAAGGATTTTGATGAAATTTGGTACGGTGATAGCTGGTTATCCGGGTCAACATATAGGAAACTTTTTACCGCGGGAAAATGTCTCATTTTTGAGAAAAATACAAAAACTGCAATGTAAGAGTATAGTAATATGTAAAACTTAAGAATTTGGTTTTTCGTATTTGGATGTAAATAAGTAAATGATTGGCTATATCTTTCAAAGTTACGTAATTATAAAATAAATATTAATACCTCTAGGATTTACTATAATAAACTTAAACCATGTTCGTTCATGACTTAAACATTCTGATAAAACGTTATCACTGTGTATCTGATATACAATTAATATTAGTGGTGTTAGTAGAAATAAAACGTGTGATATAAAAAAATGTGAATAATGTTAAATATTGCTTATTTTTTATCATTTCTATTAATTATACATGCTGATAGTGAAGTAGAAACCACACATGGGAAAGTCGTTGGAAGATTATTTAAAACATTATATGAAGAAAAGAAATACCATGGATTTATGGGTATACCTTTCGCTGCTCCCCCCATAAAAGATCAAAGATTTAAGGTATAATGAATTTTCAATATTTAAAACCAAACAAGCTCACTCGTCTTGTTTTACTTCACTCTGTCAATTAATATTACGATTTGTAAATTCGAAATGTATGTGTATATGTGTAGATGTATGTATGATTATCCTCTATCACGCTGAAACGGGTGATCAGATTTATATAAAACTAGCATTGCCCGCGGCTCCGCCCGCGTTCAGATGACCAAAAACCAAATTCTTAGGTTTTACATATTAGTATACTCTTACAATGCAGTTTTTGTATTTTTGTATTTTTTCTCAGAAACGAGATATTTTCCCGCGGTAAGAAGTATCCTTTATGTTGACCCGGATAACCTGCTATCATCATACTAAATTTCATCAAAATCTGTCCAGTGGTTTTCTTTTGATGCGGTAACAGACAGACAGATAGACAGACAGACAGACAAAAATTCTAAAAACTATAGATTCGGACTTTGTATCGATAATAATGTCTATTTCAATTAGATTTCCCAGAAAATATTTTATGTACAGATTTGACTTAAAATTTTATTATATGTATAGATATTGTAAACATAGGCAAGCTAGGAACGCACCGTAGTGAAGGGAAAGTAAGTCACTAGTAATAAAACACAGTGGTCATAATGTTTAATATTATTTATATTGTATATAATGTTTTTTATACATATAATAAAACTGTAGAGGTCGAATGTCTGTACATAGAAAAAATATGCTAAAAACCAAGTCAGGGAGATGTATGTAACAAGGGCTTTTTTTTTATTTTTTTTACTCTGTCTATTTGTCTGTTCATACGGGCTAATCTCTGAAACTGTTAGACCGATTTAAATTACATTTTGCATGGTCGTACCTTATATCCCCGGTTAACATTTTAGATAATTTTCATTCCAGAAAATTAAAGAGTTCCCGTGGGATGGGTAAAAACTATAGTAAATTATACAGCTAGGAACACAACCACATATTGACCTAATTTAGTAAAATTTGGCATGCTGATACCTTATATTGCCAGTCAATCAACAGGCTACTTTTTATCCCAGAAAAATTAACGGTTCCCGTGGGATAGATCTGTTTTCTAGTATATAATAAAACTAAACATATCATTTAATAAATAAAATTAAAACTGTATTGATATATGTTTCACTATTGTAGCAGCAAGTATTATCATAGTAATCGATAATTTGAATAATAACACTTTATTTTGAAATTTTAGCCACCGCAACCAATCGGACCTTGGGATACAGTCTTACAAGCTACAGAGGTAAAACCAGCCTGTGTCCAATATAATTTCAACATTCGCAAAGGTCAACGATTAGGACAGTACGGAGTGGAAGATTGTTTGTATCTAGATATTTATACTCCTGGAATAGATGAAAATGAACGACCCGTTATTGTATTTCTGTATAACGAAATATTTAAAAACTCCTACAATAAAACTAAAGACTATGCTCCAGATTTTTTCATTGAAGAGGATGTAGTTGTTGTTATGATAAGTCATCGTTTGTCCGTATTTGGATTTCTATCTTTCGATGACGAAACACTGTCAGGTAATGCAGGATTGAAAGATATTGTAGCTGGATTAGAATGGGTTTCGAATAATATAAACCATTTCGGTGGTGATCGAAAAAAAATTACATTATTAGGTTCCCAAGGAGGAGCTGCCGCAATAGATTTACTAATCCGATCAAAGGCGAAAATATTATTCAACTCAGCCATCTTACAAAGTGGCACGTCTCTAAACCCTTCCTATCTACAACAAAACGCTCGAAAAAGGGCGCTCAAACTGACCGAATTGTTAGAAATAGCTAGCTCAAGTACCAATCGAATTTTACGAGAATTGAACGATTTTCCTGCCTTAAAATTATTAACCATGGAACTGAGGGCCTCTCCGCCCGATTACTTCAAAGAAAATCAAAGAGGTATTTTAACTTTCGGACCCATTGTTGAAAAAGATTTAGAAGGACTCGTAACTGAATATCCAGAAAATTCTTCTGAGAATATAAACATACCTGTAATGATCGGGTTTAACTCACGAGAGGGATTGGCGGATTCCTTTAAATATCTTATGGAGCCACATTATCTCAAATTTGTGGAAAAGGATTTTCCATTTTTAACACCAGTGCGTTTAAAGTACACATTCGATCCGCTGTATGATAGCTACTTTAACGCTATTAATGAAATAAAAAAGTTTTATTTTACGGGGGGAAAAGTGACTGTAAACAGCGCTTCCGAATATATAACGTATATGGGAGACCTCAAGTCTTATGCAATAGATAAGATGGCGAAAATGTATTCTAATGTATCAGCGAGCCCCATCTATTACTATTACTTCGATTATTATAGCGAATTGAATGAGAATAAAGATAATTTATTGAGATTGTCAGTGGTGGAAGACGGTACATGGGGTGCGGCGACCGGAGATGAACTCTGCTATTTATTTAAATGCCCTAATATCAAAAATAAATATGTAAAATATAAAGAGTTAGACTCCGAAGAAGTCAAAATACAAAGAAAATTGATAAAAATGTGGGCTAACTTTGCCAGATATGGGTATGTCTTACACATGAGTTTTCTTATTATACTATGTATGTTCCATGTCTATTAGAAAAACATTTTATACTATATTAATTTATTAATACGAAACCAGGTCACTTGATTGTTTTATTGTTTAAATTAATTTACTATCGATCGTCCCACGCATTGCTTAGACGTAGGCGACAAGCGAGCGGTATCAGGTGTCACACCCCGCGAAAGAATAGCCCGGGCATAAAGGCAGATGACATAATCTTTATTGGATAAGATCTCATTAAAAATGTCATGAGAAGGGTAGTTAGTTTATCTCTTTTTATGAATAGATTCTCACTTAACTATATATAAGCGTTTAGTTAAAAACGTTGTTTCGCTATTTAGTACTGCCAATTACCGATTTCGATATTCATATGGCACATTATACATATTGGCATATTAGTCGATTCATTGGTTATATTATTTAATCGTTTTATAATTAAGGTTTTTTGAAAATATTCGCATAAAATTTCTAATAATATTCCGTATTCTAGACATTGACACCTAACATTTCTGAGTGACAAAATTATTATTTAATGAATCCATCTAATAAGATGGTGTGATGTCCCATGCATACCGACTCTATTTTAATCATTTAGTAGAGATCGTTAATATTATTAAACTCATGTTCACAGGAACCCAACTCCAGAAGACAGCAATCCATTAGAAAACGTTAAATGGCCGCCGTACACAACGCAAACAAAAGAGTATCTCCATATTAATAAAATTATAGAATTAAAAACAGATTTATTGAAAGAAAGATTTAAATTTTGGGATGAATTCATTAGAAAATGGGAAATAACAGCTAAGGACGGTATAGTAGCTCAGAACACTGTTAAGAATGATGAATTATAAGCATATTTTTACAACAACCACATGGTATTTCTTTGACTTCCTTACAACACTATATTTTTATATAAATAAGTATATAATACATAACGTAACATTAAGACTATAATAATAATTAATGACTTCACCTATTTAGCATAAAATAATTATTAATATTTTAAATCGGTTTTTATTGTTTTTACGTCACTAAAATTTATTTCATTGTTATAATACTATACGAAAAGCTCATTTTAATTATTCAACAACATTGAAAAAGATAGATTCCTAGCTTAGATGTTTTCTAGTAGTAGGTAAACTTGGTCATCTTTAACAAGCACTATCTGATACTACTTTATGCGATTAGTAAAGTAAATGATATAGATTGAGCCTACTTAGATAACTCATAAAGTTATCTTTCGGACACGTCAGTTTAAAGCCAATATGTGAACACTGTAAACAAACCGTAAGAAACTTGTCAAAATGTATTCTTTAATGGTAAAGCAAGTATTTCTATTATTAATATTATGTTTAGTGAGCAAAGTTTTTGGAAATGTAATTGTTGATACAAAGTCTGGCAAAATAGAAGGGAAAGAAGTCAATTCAATTATAAAAAATGAAAAATATTATTCGTTCTTTGGCATTCCTTATGCCAAAACTCCCGTTGGGAAACTTCGCTTTATGGTAAGTCATAAAATAATTGATTTTCCGTGACATATTCCTTGTACTACCATTGCCCGCGGCTCTGCCCGCGTTTTCATGACCAGAAAGCAAATTCTTAGGATTTACATATTAATATACTCTCACAATGCAGTTTTTGTATTTTTTCTCAGAAATGAGATATTTTTCCGCGGTAAAAAGTATCATATATGTTGACCCGGATAACCAGCTACGACCATACAAAATTTCATCAAAATCCGTCCAGTGGTTTTTCTGTGATGCGGTAACAGACAAACAGACAGAGAGACAGACAAAAATTCTAAAAACTATAGATTCGGCATCTATATCGCTAATAATGTCTATTACAATAAGATTTTCCAAAAAATATTTGATGCACAGATTTGGCTAAGTTACAATTTTATTATATGCTTAGATTATATGATTTTAATAAAATAAGGTTGTTGCTGTTCGTCCGATTATAATCAGATGAATAAAAAATATATTATTAGCCTGTACATTACATACATTACATTACATACTGTCGGTCTGTACATTCGTACACTTACTATTTACCACTTCTTTTGTTTTCTAATGTAAAATAAGTGATTTTTAGATGCAAGTATATAAAAAAAAATATATATAAAAAAAGTATGAAAAATATATTAAAAAAAAATACCTTAACCTACTGAGCTGAAAACTTATTTTTTTTAAATCCCAACGATTTTTACGTTCAAGAGTTTTTAAGGTTAAAAAAATTTTTTACGTGTAGGACTTTCTGTATGCAAAAAAAACCTTCACCTACCGAGCTGTGCCGAGCTACTTATTCTACTTTCTTATTTATTAGTCTATATATTAATACTTTTTCTGTAAATATTCGAGATGATTTTTCTGACAGATTAGCCTTGTCCTCTTGAATATGGAATCTCTTTTCGCCAGCATTGCGTGTTGAGTTTACCAGACTGGGAGAATCTAATGCGCGCGTAAACTTTGACTCGGTGTCAGAGGTGGTGTAGTAGTGCCACACATTGATAAACTTATGATGTATTTATGTAGTTTTAAGAATTATGCAAATTATTAACAGAAATAACGACTTGACTGCTTAAAATATCTATTACTTAAAAAATAATCGTATATACTATGTTCTAGCCGCCAGTTCCTCATGCAGGATGGGAGAACGTATTAGAAGCTACGAAAGAAAAAAAACATTGTGCTCAGTACAATTTACCTGTGAGAGGCACTATACAATATGGATACTGCGGAGATGAAGATTGTTTACACCTAAATATTCATACCCCGAGCTTACCAAAAAATAATGACTTGAAACTCCCAGTCATTGTATTCTTATATAATGAATTATTTAAAATATCTTATAACGGTACAAAAGATTATCGTCCAGATTTTTTCATAGAAGAAAATGTTATTATTGTGACTATAAATTACAGATTAGGAGCTCTAGGATTCCTGTCTTTTGAAGACAAATTACTGCCGGGTAATAATGGAATTAAAGATATAATATTGGCGTTAAAATGGCTCCAAGAGAATATTATTTACTTTGGAGGCGACCCTTCACGGGTAACTCTTATGGGTAACAATGATGGTGCAACATTAGTTGACCTATTAATATATTCACCAAAAGCTAAAGGATTATTCAGTGCGGCCATATTACAAAGTGGCTCATCCCGATATCCATACACGATCGTGGATAAGTCAAAAGAACGAGCAATTACTTTATCTGAAAATCTTGAGCGCAAAGCAACTACGAGCGAGTCTTTAATTGAACGTTTATCGGATATGACAGCCTTTGAAATTACTGAAAAAGAGTTTGGAGTAGTTCACGCTGATGAAGCCAGAGCTATCCAAAAAGGAGTAATTCCGTTTGGACCCGTGTTAGAAATCGATCACGATGACGCTGTCCTTACGAAACTTCCAGAAGAAACTTTCATTGATCTAACCATACCAATAATGATTGGATTTAATTCAAGAGAATCTATAGAAACAAACAGTCGTTATCTTCGTATGCCTCAGTACCTGACATACGCTGACAGAGACTTTCTCATGGTATTTCCAAGAAGAACTGACTATCACTTTGAAATAAATGATAAATTCTATAATGAAATGATTGACGAAATAAAGAATTTTTATTTTAAAGAAGGGTATGTTAAAATTGGAAAGATAAATGAATATATTACATATACGGACGACATTATGACAATTTACCCCACTACTTACACTGTTAAACAATATTTAAACACGTCTAGAGCACCAGTTTATTATTACATGTTCGACTACAGTGGTGAATTAAACTTCAGAAAAAAGACGGTTTTAACTGAAGCTACTACTTTTGATGGTACTTGGGGAGCTTCAGTAGGAGATGATTTATGTTATTCATTTATGTGCACAAAATGGAGAAAAACTTATGGAAAATTATTAGAAAGTGAAGAATCTGAAGAAATAAAAATCTTAAGGACCATGGTTAAAATGTACACAAATTTTGCGAAGACTGGGTAAGACTTATTTAATCTATACTAATATTATAAAGAGGTAGTTTGTGAGTATGTGAGATTGTGAGTTTGTGCCGTTGTAGGGGGTAATCTCTGGATCTACTAAACCGATTTACATGAAATTTGGTAAGAATATAGTTTGAGATCCTGGGAAGGACATAGAATACTTGTTATCTCGGAAATCATCCCTTAAGAGGGTGAAAATTGGGATGAAAGTTTGTATGGCGAATCAAGCTAGAGACGAACCCTAGCGAAGTGAGGGTGAGTCGCTAGTATATTATATATAGCTATAATAATCAAGACGTATAAAGTACGCTAATTTTATAATCTTTGTAAGTTTGAATGTAGGGGGTAATATCTGAAACCGCAACACTACAACCTATCCCCGAAAAACCTTTCACTCATAAGAAGCCATTTTACCGCTGAATACTACAAATTATTTTTTATTTGCAATAAATTGTGTTTAATATTAGAAGTCATAATAACTTAATTGAAGTCCGAATTTTTTTTTAAACTAAACAGCTTGAGGATTGAGGAAGCGAGCTTAAGTCACTAGTTTAAAAAATATAGCTTAAATAAAACATTGTTTTCTTACAGAAATCCGACACCTCCTGGAAGCGATTTCATTTGGACACCGGCCACAAAAGAAAACAGGGAATGCTTAGTGATTAGCGACGAATTAAAAATTGTGCCAAGACTCTATGATGAAAGAATTAAATTTTGGGATGATTTTATAGAAAAATATAGAAAAATGGCTGTAAACGGCATAGTTAAAGATGTAAAGGATGAATTATAAATTGTTCATATTCATTTCTCACTTTTAATTTAAATATACATATCTCAAGTATGTAGTACGTCTTAGACCTATCGATTACATAAAATATATAGGAAGAAAGTTTATTTCTTTACAACTTTATATTTTACTATAATGATAATAAATGTAATAGGTATTTAATATTTTTTTACTAAATAACATGCATTTGAATTTCATTACATTATTTAAAAAAAACTGAAAAAATATATTTTAAATACGATTTGTGTACTGTACAATATATAATCTATATAATTGCATTTCTTATAGTCTTTTAAAATCATGCTCATTAGCATAAATATTATATACTTATAAAAATATACTTTATGGCAGGTTGTCTAATTTTTCACTTCGTTACCTTTGAATATTAATTAAATCGTTTTAATAAAAAGAAAATTAGTAACTTTAAAACTCTTGACATTTTAACTTTAATCTCAAAATTATACGTACTGAATGTTTATATATAACACTTATATAAAACCGACATACATTTTTATTTTATTATTATTATTATTTTTAATTCGATGAACTGAATATGATTGGATTAGTATTATAATAAGCATAATCTTTATCGATAACGATAAAGACCTATGCCGTACTGCTTTATCTTACATTTAATATTATCAGCCTGACAATTGCAATCAGGTTTTAATTTTATTAGATACTTACCGTGCAAAACATGGAAGTTCATATAGTACTATATTTATTTGTATTTATAATCAATTTCTCTTTATATCATACACGTGAAACGATAAACGTAAAATTAAAACAAGGCGAAGTATCAGGAAGTGTAGAAAAAACATTTTTAAAACATCGAAATTATTATGCATTTAAAGGAATACCATTTGCACAGCCACCGACCGGCGATCTGCGATTTAAGGTAATATATAAAAACTCTTTTTTCAGATCTATTCCATTTCTTTAGTTTTTGCTTTCAAGTCTTGATAAGACCGACACTTATGAAGGACTATTATTTTACATGAATACTAAGCTCAGAAGAAATTTTATATCAACATTTTAACTGATGTAGCGAACTCTGTTCATAATGCCTTTAATAAAAAAAATGTGGTTGTTGATTACTACGAACATATTATTTCAGCCCCCAGTGCCGCCTATTGGATGGAAAAATGTTTACCAAGCACATAAAAACAAACCCACATGTATTCAATATAATTCCAGAATGAGAATGGATGAAAAATTTGGAATGTCAGGCTCTGAAGACTGTCTTTATATCAGCGTCTTTACACCTAATTTAAATGCATCTGCCCCTGTAATAGTATTTGAATATAACGATAACTTTCAAACAAGTTTCAATGGTACCGAGGCTTATTCTCCAGATTTTTTTATAGAAGAAGATACAGTTGTTGTCACTATAAGTCATCGCCTTATGGTGTTAGGATATTTGACAACAGAAGATAATATTATCCCACCTAATGCAGGATTAAAAGATTACATAATGGGATTAAACTGGGTCAAAGACAACATAAAACAATTTGGTGGTGATTCAAATCGGGTAACATTGATGGGATGTAGAGGTGGAGCGGTACTAGCTGAAATATTACTGTATTCTAAAAAAGCTTGTAACCTTTTTAGTAGTGTGATAATACAAAGCGGAACTGCTTTGGAAAATGGATTTTTTAGTGAAAATTCCCGCTCCAAAGCATTCGAACTAGGTGAAAAATTAAATATTACTGTTGACAATAGTCAGATGCTGTTAGAAGCACTGCAAAAGATGGATATCCAAACAATTTATAATAAAGTGAGTGACGTGATTATTCAAGATGGAGAAGATTATTTTTCATTTTCACCTATAGTAGAAAATAACGATCCTGAAACAGTTGTTACCTCAATACCTGAAAAAAGTAAAATTATTAACGATGTACCTGTCATGGTTGGTATGAATTCTAGAGAAGGTCTGGATCTCATATCACAGTATTTATTTCGACCGCAGCTAATGGGAGAAGTAGGCCAAGATTTTCTTTTTCTGTTCCCTATTCGGACTAACTATAAGTTTGATAGGAAAAGCAATGTATATAAAAATGCTACAAAAGAAATAATAAATTTCTATTTCAAAGAAGGTCACGTGTATTATGGTAATATCTTAGAATATTCGGTATACATTGGTGATATATTACAAAACTATGCTCTTAATCTAGCAGCAAAAAAACTATCTGAAAAGATGAAGTCGCCAGTTTTTTATTATATATTTGATTTTAGAGGACAATTAAATGAAAACAGTGACTTTATAGCAAGACGTACACCATTAGCCTTAAAGCCATGGGGAGCAACCATTACAGATGAGTTATGTTACTTACATTTGTGTACTCGTATAGAAGAAAATTATCAAAATCTTTTAAAACTAGTAAGTGAGCAACCCGAAATTAAAGTTTTGAAGAACATGGTGCGTTTATGGACAAACTTTGCTAAATCAAGGTAATCATTATATTATTTTGTATAATATTGCTCTAAAATAAATGATAGTACCTGTGTATACTTTTATTTATGAATAATTTTTCTATTTAACGTTTCTTATCTTGTAAGTTTGTGTAAAAAATTAACAAATAATATGTTCGGATACAGCTGTACATAATATTATTTCTTAGTAACATAGACCAATGTGACTGAAATTCTGTTAGGAAGATACTATTTAAACATAATTTAAACACATTGATAAACTTTTCAGAAATCCAACACCCTCAAAACAAGACGATATTCTTAAAGATTTCATATGGAAGCCTATAAATAAGGATAGTAATGATACTAACTACCTTCATATAACGAAATTACTAAAAATGAAAACGAATCCTTTGGGCAAACGTGAGGAATTTTGGGATGGTTTTTTAAACAAGTACGCTGACCTCGCTGTTGATGGTATTGTTCAAGATATCGAAACTGAAAAGAAACACGATGAATTATAACTTTTATATATGTAATATTTTATTTTCTTTAATATTTTTGTTTATTTAGAATAGCAACTTTTTCTCGCTTCATTCGGGTACGTCCCTCAGTACGAATAATTCCGTAAGACAATATTTCAAATAACTCTATTGGTTTACGCGCCGCACGCCAGTAAAGCTCCCAGTCGGCATGTTTTTTTTTTCGAAATCTTCAGCACCGTCATATTTCACATTTCAGCTATTTTTTACAAAATCTTAATGAAGTATGCACCTAAACCTTCCTCATGAATCTCTCTGCCCATTGGTGAAAATCGTATCCAAATCCGTTCGGTAGTTTATTTCGTGTTCAGACAGACAGACAGACGCGGCGGGTAGCCTTCTTATAATATTATGTGGTGATATACACAACACCTTCTTATTACTGCAGAAATTCAAATTATGGCCATTGTTAAGATTTTTGTTTAAACTTAATCAAATCCGAATTGCTTGTTTTGTACTTACCTAGTATTCTCTCAGTAAATTCAGTTTTACTCACGGACAGGATAAATATAGAATAACATAACCTAAATCTTACTGTCATTAAATCCGAGCTAAAGTATTATTTTACACACTCTCATGATCCACATGAATAAAAATGTTTGTAAATAAATATCACTCTTCGATCAATAAACAGCCAAGTCAAGTCAAATAAATGCTTGGAAATTGGAAAGGTAAACAACCAAACGTTTTTGCTTATTTTTGATGTTCTCCTAGCCGATTCCGGCCACGGCGGCCAATATCATTGAGACTAGCCAACTACGCAGGAAATATTATAGTGCACAAGTGTACGCGCAGACACAACGTGCACTCTCTATTTCTGTCACTCTCATACTCCGGTGGGACGACTGCTCGACACGACCAGTGAGAGTTAAGGCGCAAGACCAACGGCTTTATGTGCTCTCCGAGGCACGGGGGTGAAACCCCGCCAACTTCCCGACTCCGGGCTGTTACTGAGACTTACTATACAGAAAGACTCAATAACTAAACCTGGCCCGACCCGGGACTCGAACCCAGGACCTCCGAGTGTGCAGCCGTACATGCTAGCCACTAATTATTTTTAAATATTACCTAACTAGTGTGTATTATCATTATTGTAAATTATACTAAACATGATTAGAATCTAGTAAACTAAATAAGAAAATCATTTTCATTTTTTTTTATTGATAACTAAAGCTGAAGCTTGTCAAAATAGCCACTAAATAAAAAAAAGAAAATCAGTTTACAAACTGAGGAAAAAAGGTACTGAGCTCAGTTCAATTCAGTGAACTTTTTGGTTTTTGCCTTTTTTAATTTAGGGCAGACTTTAATATTTAATGTCTTTATTCTTGCACTATACTAATTCATATTATATATCGATTACTTCGATCAACAGTAGTATAATTGTTGATCGAAGATCGATTAGGTTAACAGAGATTATATATATACCTGATTACAGCGAGTAACCGGTGCTCCTATTTTAGATAATGTAAAAAAAATAGATAATAAAAATTAGGAAACTCTTATTTTACAAGCTTTTATTTAACTTTAATGTTTGTATGTATGTTTGTGTGGGTTCAAATCTTGCAAATATTAAATTTTTAAGCGGTTATCCTCAACCGATTGAGCAGTAATTTTGCATACTCGTTTAGTTTACTAAATTTCATGAAAATCGTTGGAGCCGTTTCCGAAATTCAGATTATATACATATACTGAATTGCTCGTTTAAAGATGTAAGATAAATGTGAAAGTTTGTGAGTATGGATGTTTGTTACTCTTTCACGCCAGAACGGCTGAACGGATCTGGATGAAATTTTTCACAGAGATAGATTATAGTCTGAAATAACATATAGGCTAATTTTTATCCTAGAAAATGTACGGTTCCCGTGGGATACGTTTGTTTTTGTATTCGCTAGTGTATATGTCATTTTGTACCTGAGTAAAGATAGGGTTAGTCTTTTGACGCTTGCTATGAACGGGAAACTTTATATAATATTTTTACTAGCGTTTTTCCGCAGTTCCACACGCATAATTTAATTATGTGTTATATATTATATTACTGTAGTTTCATCAAAATCCGTTCAGTAGTTTTTGCCTGAAAGAGTAACAAACATCCATCGATCCTAAGAAACTTTCATGTTTATAATATTAGTAGAATAGGATGAGACAGTAATTAATGTTAACACTAGAAGTCAAACATTATGTAGTAGAGCATTGTTTATCATATAAACAACATATTTCAACAACAGGTATTTGACACAGTTCTGAGGCGATAATTAAGCTGCCTCAAAAGTTTCTCCAAAGTTTCAAACAATTTAGTTGTACATCTACAGTGTGTATCGACTAAAAACTTAACCTCATCTTATACATTTTTTTTTCAAATACCTATTCAATATTCATTAAACTTAACATAATAAAATAACACAGTCATATAGTAATAAAATTAATATAATTAATAAAGACCAAAATTATTTCTAAATTAATGTAAAAATAATTAAAATCTAATACTTATTTAGAGCCGCAAAATATTATATTATTCTTCATTATTATAATCATTATTTATAATCTATACAACACGTGCCTTATATTTATAATATACATATATTTGTGTGATGAGCACGAATGTTTGTACTCCACTCCTGGGTTTTATATGTATAAATATCTATGTATTTAAAGTTATATGTGTAGTGTATCAATTATGTCACCTAAATTGTGATGTGTATATGCAAGCAGGGGCAATTTCCTAGATTGCCCCTACGGCAGGGCGGCAGGGGCGCGAGACCATCCTTGATCCCTAGATTGCACCTGCCGCTCTGCACGTTGCCGCGTGTGTAGCGCGATCGGGGAGATTTCTCTGCCGATCTTTTGACAGTGTAGCCATTTAGGGGTATTCCCCTCAATTTTAGGGATAAAAAAATTGCACTGGTTTTTTTTATAAATACGTTTTATAAAGCAAAAATCATATATCTTTAAATGTCATTTGCATCATTTATCCTTTTCTTTATTATTTTCTAAGTAATATCTATGAAATTTATTATTATTATTATTAAATGGTTATATATAATTATTATAATAATAACCATAAATAAGTTTTTACGCTACTTGTAATCATTTAAAATAAAAAATATTAAAAATGAAAAAAAAAAAGTATTAGATAGTGCACAAGCCAATCAGTGCACTATTTTTCTTTCAATCTCAAAATCCGATGGAACGATACTTCAAGGTGAGGCAAGAATTTACATGATCATCGAGGCACGGGAGTGTAACACCGAAAATTTCATTCAATAACTGCATTTTGACCGACCCGGGACTCGTACCAGGATCTCCGGATCTGCAGACGTACAAGCTAGCTACTGGACAAACGAGGTGATTTAGTATCTATTGTAATACTAGCGGCTCACCCTCGCTTCGCTCGGGTTCGTCGCTAGGTACGTTTTAAATAGATATAAAAAGAAAAAATCTTTCTTTCTCACATTTTAATTATATGTTTTAATACTTACCTATTCCGGACTAAGAGAAATCCAAAAATTAAAATATCATAAAAATTGGAACGCGGTCGAACGGGATAAAAAGTATCCTATGTCCTTCTCCTGGCTCTAAACTACCTCCCTGCCAATTTTCAGCTAAATCGGTTCAGCCGTTCTTGAGTTATAAGCGAAGTAACTAACACGACTTTCTTTTATATATATAGATGTATAGTCCCCCCCAACGTGCGTTCACCTTGTCGTAGTGAGGGGGCTCAGTAGTGCCCGGCAATCCAACCGGGCGCGAAGCCAAGAAACGCACAGGGAGGTGGCCCACTTTGGTGGGAGGTGGCCCTCTTCGGAGGGCGGTGTACCATGTGGGTTGCTCCTGGTACTTCTCTGATAGCAGAGTGGACCTTGGAGCAACCCCAAGGTTGTTGTGGTCTGCTTCGGCAGACCTGCCGTCGGGGCGTCGTAGTTGAATGCGTAAGCGATCCTGCGACGCCCCATTAAGACGGGGGAAGGTTTTGTTGGGTTTTAGTGGGTAGTACTGGCTTTATTACGCCGGTGAGTCCCACACCTCGTGCGTAAATGCATTTCCTAACGTTAAAAAAAATGTATAGTAATTGAAATTATAAGTACCTACTACTGCTAATAATTCGATAGTTACAGTTTTACATGTCGATATAAAATATTCATAATTACACATAGCATGTGTATTTTATAGAGATAATAAATAATAATTCATACTTCCTAGTAAGTTATTACAAAATTGACGTGTACATTACAACGTAATTACGTGTACCAGTAAAAATGCGTGTTTATAACCTATACACTAATATTATAAGGAGGTAAAGTTTGTATGTAGCGGGTAATCTCTAAAACTAATGATCCGATACAAAAAAATCATCTTTCACTAATAGAAACCGCCGAATGATAGGCTATAATTTTTCCAATATAAATCATTGTTTACTGTCATATATTAAATAACTTTAATTATTATTATATTAGCGTACGCCGGCTAAAAAGTTTGAAATAAAACAAGAAAATATAGAACACTAATGGTCGATTTCACCAACGTCACCTAAGTTTAAGGGATCCCCTAAGCATGGTTAGGGGGCTGTCAGGGGACAGTTTCTGTTTCATCGACAGTTAGGGGTCACCTAAATGTTAAAATGACACTTAAATATAGAAACTAGAAATACGGGCTCTGACGATGGTAAAACGAAATTTAATTTAGGGCAAGTTTAGGGGAACTTTTAAGCTAGGTGGTAGCTTATGGGATGTTGGTGAAATCGGACATAAGAGCCCTTAGGTCACTCCCTAGCAACACGAGAGTAAATCGCTAATCTCTAAATAAAACTTCCATGATAATTACATATATATTATATAAATTAAGGATTAAAGTTGGAAGATGGATTAGTTTTATCATGTAGATTACTATAATAGCACATACTGTGAACAATAGTTACCTATTAAACCTTTGGTTGAGAAAGAAAATACAAGGTCATGGCCAGTGAAGGCCAGTGTGCGAAAAGC